CGCCACCACTGCTGCCCCCACACCAGGATCCCAGAGAAGTACAGTGACCCCTCAATCTCACCAATAACCTACGCGGATGAAGAGAGCAGGAGACACACTGAGGGGCTCCACAAGGCCCATTCTCCCACCAGTGTAGTGCTAAGGGTTCCCTGAGCCCTTTCACTTGCAAAGGAGGAGCCATGAGCACCACAGGTTCTCAGCCACAGGACCACCATCCCTCAGTGTGACCCCCCAGCTGGGAGGGGTGTCACTGTCGTCTCTAGAAATAAAACATTCATGAAGGCCTTCCAGGGGTTGTCCAATCCTCAGCCCAGGATAGCTATGAAAGCGGCCCAACACAAAAATCATAAATGTACCCAAAAGCCTATTTTTGCTCACCAGTTTTTGTTAGTGCTTGTGTATTCAACGTGTGGCCCAAGGCAACTCTTCTTCTTCTGGTGTGGCCTAGAGACACCCAAAGTTTTGTAAGAATTTGCTTTCTAGGTCTTCCAAGTGGCCTCTGGGCTCTCTATGTTCACTGCTTCCTCTTAGGCTTTCTTAGGGGGAAGATTAAGGGGCAGGTGACTGCCTCAGAGGTGGGAACTGGGTAGAAGTGTACAGATGGCCACTGTGAAGAGTGTGACCGTCACAAAGTAGGGCCGTGTGGATAATGACTGCTCTGGGTGAGTAACTCCGCCCTGTGGGTTCTTTTTTATTTTGGTATTTGCCTCAAGCAGAATTTGAGGGGCCGGGGTGGCAACCGTCTCAGTAATCTGGATAAATTATATTTAATGCAACATTCTAAAAATCCAAATTAATGCCCCCAAAAATCCACAACGAACCAAATATCAAAATTTTAAAGGAAGGCTTCTTACTAACTAACTTCTTGGTCTTGGGCAAATTAATATTACCTCCGTTTCTTCATTCTGAAACGTAGGAAAGGAACAGTCAATCAGCTGTCTTTGCTGGGAGGTTGTAAGGTCACAAAATGTATTTAAAGTGCCTGATGCACAGAAGGGCCCAGAAAAGACTGGATGCTGTTATCCACAAGAGTGTACGGAATAGCTGTGCTAAAAAGAGACAGAAAGTTGATTTTTCTCTCTCCATTTTGTTTTTGGTCATTCTCCAGTATCCGTGAGGGGAGTTAATACTGACCTTACCCTGAGTGATTTTTGCCACCTGAACCTCATCTCACCGACAAGCGAGAATAAATATCGACACGTGGAAGCAAGCTCCCCAGCAGTCAGGTCGGTTCTGTGGCAGGGGCTGGGCCTCTTTCTGTGGCTCCCACAATCTTTCTCTTTTGCCTGCTGCCTCCTTCCTGCCTCTCCACCAGACCAACCTTGGGCATTTTCCTCCCCAAACTGACTGCTTGACTGGGGGTATGTAAGGATGGAGTGGGCCGAGGTGGCATTTGGTGACATGACAGGAAGGCTTACTCTGTGATTTCTCCTGAAGCTGGCATCACGTCCCTTGTGGTGGTTGTCGCGCTGTTCCTGCTTCCTGAGATTGTTCCTAGACGGGGCTGGGCTCGGGGTGCGTCTGCCTCCAGCTGGCCAGTAGTGTGTGGGTTCTACTTGGGGCAGGAAGGATTTCATGACCCAAGTCCAGGTAATTTTGATAGCACATTTATTAAAACCGAGGGTGGTGAAACAAAGGAAGGGCTGAAGGTAGAAGAAGCAACAGGTGGGGCTGCTTTGGTTTTTTAGAAACATTGTAGGAAAGAATTCACGCTACGCTGAGCGAATTCACCAAGAAGTAACACAGTGACAGATTGAGCTGAGGCCGGGCTGCTGTTTGCTCACAAGAGAGACCAAGAAAATAAAAAAGGAAGCCTTGAAGACAGGTTCAGAGGGTAAGCCTGGGACTGGCTGCTGTGGCCCACGCTCCCTTCGTTGTAGTCTCATGGGGAGCCTTTGAGTTTAGGAGAAAGAGAGCAGAGGTACCCAGCGTGCGTGCTCTGGGGAGAGCTCTGGCGGGGCCTTTGTCTCAAGACTTTTTCTCCTTCTTTGGCCAGTGAGAATCCTAGGGGAGATCTCAGGGCAGGGTCTTAACAGAAAATGCATTAGCTTTCCAGGTGCATCCTTGGATACATTGATTCATCAAAATGTGTGCATCAATTTATTTTTTGGTTTTATTTTCAAAGAACGCCCTCTAAGAGGACAGTCTTCCCTGGGACTGTCTAGAATGAGTAAACCATTTGCTCCCAAGTGTCTTTGGTTGGGGAAAATAAAACCTCTGGACTTTGGGATTCATTAGCTGGCTGTAAACTGCTCAAATTGTTCGGCCCAGTTTAATGATTTTTGTCTCAGTTTTCCTCATTCCATTTGTCAAGGAATTTCCCTGCCTTCCGCCTGTCCTGCCTCACAACCTTTGTATGTTTGTTTATTCAAACAGCTTTAACAGCCACATAACTCGCCATCATAGTCACCATAAAAAAAATTTGCAGTTTGGTGGGTTTTCATATATTTACAGAGTTATACCAGGTTTCCCAGGGCCTTGAATGCCAGGGTAAGAAGTTGAAGGTTTGTCCTAAGGAAACTGGAGAGTGAATAGTTAACTGCAAAATGTGTTTATTGATGAACGAATCTGAAAAACAGTCTTCCCCATTTCCTTGGACTTCTTCCCAAGTTTATATATGTTACAAGTTGTTTTTTATGCTTATATTCATATCCTATTTACGGTTTTGTTTTCTACTTTCGCCTTTAGTACGTTTTCATGTGGTTTTCTCTGTATCTGTACCGTTTTCACTTTTAATGACTATATGTTTTCTCTTGCTATGGTCGGATATTTACTGTTTTACTTTATGTGTACAGAACTTTTAAAAATAATCACGAGCCCTGGCTGGCATAGCTCAGTGGATTGAGCGCGGGCCTGCGAACCACACGATAGCAGTTCGATTCCCAGTCAGGGCACATGCCTGGGTTGCAGGTCAGTTCCCAGCCAGGAGACTCATGAGAGGCAACCACACATTGGTGTTTCTCTCTTTCTCTCCTTCCCTTCCTCTCTAAAGATAAATAGATAAATAAATAAATAAATAAAATCCTTTAAAAAAGCTATGTTCAATTTCATAAAAAAATAATAATCACGAGTGTGTGTGTGCGCGTCATTGAACTAGGGCCAGGTGACCGAAGTGTCTCGGGCGTACAATCGAAGGAGGTGCCCCGGCCTGGGCATGTCCTGTTGCACCTCCATCTGTCTTTTTCTTCATCCTAATCTCAGCTCTACACCTATTGTGTGTACGTGTGGGGTGGGTGTGCACTTTTAAATTATTTCATCAGGGTGAGATTACTGGTCTCACGGTGGTTTTACCGGTTCAAAGTCCATTCAGAGTCCCTTTGCTGTTGATATTAAGTACTGGAATGTTTCTTGGAAGGAGTCCATTGAAGGTGTTTTTAAAGCATAATTTTGATACGCGCATAATGACATTTTACAAAGATTACGGAGGCCATGGGGCAGTTAAAGGACTATGACAATGGTATATTCCAACTACAGAAATTCCACAGGTCTGACGCCTCATTTGGGTGACTGGGTCAGAACACTCTGTTTTTTAGAGAGTTATGAGTTCTAGAAACCATCTTGGAAACTGCAACAAAGCCCTTCATCACGAGACCAAGTCCCTAACAATGACCCCTCTGTGTATACCAACCTGATCACTTAAGGTGCATTATTTTAAAAAAACACTACCACTTGCACAGCAGCCCCTGTGTCACCAGGGGTCTTCTGAATGAAGAGCACTGGGCTACTGCTGTTTTACCAGAAGCCAAGTTCCCAGCTTCAGGGTTCAAGTAAAATTCTATTATTTGGGGACAAATAGTATCAGAATTCGCCTACTAACAAGAGTTTTTGTAAAAATCAAATGGAAAAATATCCGGTTGTGTATAAAATTTTCCTAAAGGGCACTTTTTAGAAACCACTAAGTGGAAAATCACCAGAATGGAGTTTCAGGAGGTCTGGTTCCTGAGTCACTACTAGGCAAGTGTAGTTCTCAAAGTTGCATGGTTAGGTGAAAGATTTGAGAGTGATGGAGCAGAAAGAGCAGGTTTTGGGCAGGGTAGGGCATTGTGGATGGAGATGGTTGGAAGGAAACCAAAATTATTTTTCAAAGCTCTTCCAGGAGTTTTCCTTTTGGCGACTTTGGAAAATAATGTATCTTCTTAAGGCGGAATGGAAAGAAGTCTTACCTGCCAATTAGGGCTGGTCGATTTATTATTTGACACTTCCTCATTTATGCGAATCTACAATATTAAAGCTAACTTTTCTTTTGTGGCTTTCTGCCCATCCACTCTTCTAGAGTTTTGTTAAATTGCCAGATTGAAACTTGCTGCTTTGAGAGAGTCTCACTTTCTCAAGATTGACTAATCTTCCGTGTGCCCTAGATCAAGTTCATCAAGGCTTCCTAACCTGCAGCAATACTGCCTTTTGCAGAAAGGCTTGCTGAACCAAACCCAGTGTGTGTGTATACAGCTCGCGCCTAAGGTCGGGCTGTGAAGGTAGCCCTAGGAGCTACATACACACTGGGCAAACCCAAATCTCCAGAACGTGTTCTGCAACAAAATTGCGCGCCATTTCTCTTACAGGCACATTCCCTATGAGCAAAGTGCGCTAAAATGTTCCTACAGTCGATCTGATTTGTACAAATTAACAACAGGTCATTTGTCAAATTCCTGAAGAGCGTGAAACTGGGCATGGACAACAAAGCTATCTCCCTCCCCCCTCTAATAAAAACAAAAACGAACAAACAAAAACCCCTCCTTCCTAGGCTGCTGTGCTTATTTGTAGGGTGTCTGTTACTTTTGTTTGTTACAGTCGCGTTTCCGAGCGCCACTGCCAATTGGCGATGTCTCCTAAACAGTGTGGGGTGGGGGTAGCTATCCCAGCGTTAAGATTCCGGCCCCGCTAGGACCTAGTGGAAGAAACGTCTCAGCTGCTCCTGAGCGGGGTTGGAGCGGGCTAGCCAATCAGAAGCCGCCTTTGCACAGCCAGCCGCCAATCGTATCCGCCCTTGCTGTGTCGGGCACGGGTTATTTAAGGGTGCACGCTGGCACCAAGCAGTCGTGGTCTTGGGAGTCTGGTCTGTAGATCGTCGTTGCAGTCATGGCTAACCACATCGTGCTCTACAACGGTGCCAAAATGCCCACGGTGGGCCTGGGAACCTGGAAGGTAGGTTTGGCGGAGATAGCGCCCTGCTGCTCTCTTCGGCTTTGCACAGTTTGGGGCGGGGAGGGACCTGGAGTGACCCTCCGCCTGGACGTCCGTACTCCATGGAGCCACACTTGGGCATTCCTGGCCGAGGACTGGCTCAGGTCGGCCTTGCGGGTTCCTGGGCGCCAAGGTGGGCCAGGCAGGGGAGGTTGGTGGGGGCGGGGGTGGTTAGGGTTTGGGAGGGTCTTTGGAGGCCCGCGGGAGGCCCCGGGAAGGCCGACTCTGTATACAGTTGTTGGGTTTGGTCCCCAGGCCACGCTTTGAGTCCTTTCCCAACTGGAAAAAGAGACCGAAGGCTAGGTGGGCTTTCCGGACCCTCACTGCTCTGGCCCTGGGGTTGGAGAGCCGGAGATGGATCTGGAAGACCAGGGGCCATTGTGCACTGGCGTTCACATCCTAAGGGCATTTGTGGTGTAGCTTGTTTTTCTCCCAAATAGTTTGTTCTTAATCGGTTCCGTTTTTCTCTCTAAGGGAATTAAGCGTCTAAAGGTAAGCCTGGAGACTGCAGGTAATTAAATTAGGTGGCTCGAGTTTGCCCAGAACGCATCCATTTCCACGTCCCCAGACGCACAGCGCTGAGCTAAACCCTTTGGCTGGGCGTGTCACTTTGGGGGTGTCGTGGGAACTCCACAGAGAATCTGTGCCCTGGCGGTTACCGCCCGCCCATGGAAAACTGTTAGCAGGCATCAGTATTCAAACTGGCTCCAGAAACCTTATCACCACCTAAATCTCTTAACTCACAGTTTCCCCAAGAAGTGGTGAGGAATAAAATGGGTAGTCTGATTATGTGAAAATTAGGGGGCACAGAAGGTGGTTATTATGGGCCCAGGGTGAAAACCCAATATTTTTAAGCCACTTGTAAGGTCAGTTCAGGTATTGTATACTACGGCCCACAGGTGTGACCCAGGTTTTCCCATGAGCTTTGACTGTGGGCCTGGGCATTGGTGTTTATTTACAAACGGGGAGCAGGGAAAGGGGGAGACAGGATTGACCTGCACCCCTGCACGGGTTTGAAATAGAACAGAGAGGGTGGTGCTTACTCTACCCTAAAACCTGCAGTCGAAAGTGGGTGAATACAAAGTGAATAAGAAAAGGATCCTAGAGTTGCCTCATGTGGAAAATATTTCTTGGCCAAAGTGGTTGGAATGTTAGTTATTCTGTGTTGCCTTCAAAACGTTGAATGGTGGCCCTCAGGGTGTAATTGGATTATGGCCATGACACTGACTTACAGTCCATCAGTGGCAGATTATTCTCTTGGAATGGATGTGGAAAGACGTTTTCTTGGCAATACCAACATACAGTTTCTATCAGAATGCTGTAGCCCATAGACACATTCACGGAAATGTAACCAAAGCTCCACGGGACAATCCTTAGCCTTCCCAGGTGGGGTGCTTTCCAAAATATTTTTGGAAAGCAGGGTCTTGACCTTAGGCCCCTCATTTGAAAATCACTACTGTCGGGTAAACAAGGAGCAAAAGTTGGTTAAAGAGGGCTTTTCATCATCCACCTGAGCACTTAACACCCTGTAAAGCTGTATATTCATTTAAAATAATACAAAATCTGTGTTTAGCTCATTTCTGCAGGTGAAGTTTGTTGAGGGCTTAGGGTAGCTGTCTGCCTTGTTCATTTATATTCCCAGTGCTTCTCACAGTGCTTGGTAAATAGCAGGTACCCAAAGGATAGCTGTTGCATTGAAGGAAAAAAGAAGTAAAATAACTTCAGATTTCAGGGTGGGTGGAGAGATGAGGTCTGTCCTGAATTGTGTGGTGACATGATGAGGGTGGGCTCTGTGAAATAAATGATGTAAGTATGGGCCTCCTTCGCAGATGCTGGACAAGAAACAGGGTGGCCTCAATACCATTCGCGTATCTTCCTGAGGACCTTGGGAGGCTGGGAGTGGCTGCGGCTCCTTGTTCCCCACGAGTCTTTCATGTCCTTGTTGGGACTGTGTTGTGCTGTTTGGACTGCTCTCAGAATCTGAGCTCTTCTGGTTCCAAGGACCAGCCAACTTAAACTGAAGCAGACACACAAAAAAAGAAGTTTGTTTGAAGTGGCGATTCATTGCCTGTAGAGTGGCCTCTGGTGTGCCAGATTCAGGGGTGTGAAGGTGATCCTCACCTGTTCCTGAGTCCCACTTCCCTCCAGCAGCTCCTGGCTCATCTCCTCCCAGCGGAATGAGATGGCGTTGGTGCTGACGTAAGGCCAAAGATTGACTCTCGTGGACCTGGCTTGGATCATGTGTCTGCAATGGTACCAGTCTCTGGCAGACACCAGGCCTGAGAAATGTGCCCATCCTGTGCCTGGTTGGGGGCTCCTAAGGAGCTGGGCTGGCACAGAACAGGGCTCTGCAGAGAAAGTAAGGGTTCCATTAAGTTTGATGACAGCCAAGGGCATGCTGGGCAGTTTCCCCCACCTGGGTCCCTCACTTGTTTTCTTTCTTGGGAAGGGGTGTGCTCTGCCCTCACTGCTCACATCAGCAACAGCTGTGCCCAGTGCTCCACAGAGAGGCCGTGGTAGTTAATGTCTACTGCTTTGCTCTGCTCCTTCATCCATGCAGGGCGGGAAGGCCACAGGTGCAGCTTCCTGGGTCCTCCAGGAAAGAGGAGATTGATTGCCAGATCACCTGAAGTTATTCCTTGGTCTAACACCTGAGTTAGCATTGCCACCCCGCCTTCCTGCTCCCTCCACGGTGGTGAGCAAGCTCGGGGTACTATCAGGTCACGCTCTGATTCCCATGGCTCCCTGTCCTGCCCCCGCTGCCTGTTCCCAACGGCTGACACCCAGAGAGCAGATGTCTGCAGCTGTGGATGGGCCTGGGGAGTTTTCCTTTCCATCCCTTCCTACCCCAGCTCCCCAGAGGAATTCACAGGCCATTGCACACACATTTACTTGTCCCCTCTCTGGTCTGAGCAGGGGGTGGAGCGAGTGTCCGTGCAGTCCATCTGGGTGAAGCTCGGTGGCCACGAAGACACTCCATCCTCCTTGCCAGCCAGCTCCCCACACCTGTGCTGGTCACTCAGGGTTTGGGCACAGCCAGCCAGCTTCTTTGTCACTGTGACTACAAGCCATATGGTGCTCTTCCCAGTTTCTGGTGGATTGAGAACTGACACCAGGTCTTTGAATCTGTATCAGTAGTACTCTTGACTTTGTGATAATCTCCCAGAACTGCTTTTAAAACCAAAGGATTCCCGACACCTACATCCATGCACACAGAGAGAGAAAGGAAAGCGCAGGCGTTGACTGAACTGAAACCAAGTGGGAACTGGGTAAACATTTACAGCGGTTTTTGAAATAGTTTGGGCTGTTGGAAGGATATGGTTTCCCTTATTGTCTTGGGACCCTAATAGATTCAGATAGTGGGTTTTTTTTTTTTTATGCAGTGCTTTGTAAATCAACAGATGTGAAAAACAAGGAAGTGAATGTCTTTGCACTTTTTAAGGTGATCTGTGCTGCCTTTAAGTCGTCAGGTGACTCTAAACTGAATCAGTGTGGCATTTCATCCCCTCCTGCCTGAGGGCAAAATGCTAGACTGCCTCAGAAGCCAGCTGAGCAGCCCGTGCTTCAGTGAGGGCACCAGGCTCCTGTGCCCTCCTTCCTGAGGTTTTAACCCCATGCCTTCTGTTGCCTTTCAGTCTCCCCCAGGCAAAGTGATGGAAGCCGTGAAGGCGGCGATCAGCCTTGGGTACCGCCACATTGACTGCGCCCACGTGTACCAGAACGAGAATGAGGTGGGCCTGGCCATCCAAGAGAAGATCAAGGAGCAGGTGGTGAAGCGTGAGGACCTCTTCATCGTCAGCAAGGTGCGGCCCTCGAGAGCCTGGGGTGCAGGGTTCTCGTTCACGGTTGTTCATTGGCGGCATCAGCGTAGGAGCCGAGACCGTACTCTCTCTGGGGCCTCTTCATATAACTGTAGTTATCACTGCTGGCTGGAGGCCGCCGGGTGGGTGCACCAGGGCACACCCGTCCGTGCCTGTCTGTTGGATGGTCGTTCCCCCCGACCCCTTGTAGAGCCCCTTGCTGAAGAGGCTGAGGGCAGGGGTTGGGTTGGTGCTCTCTTTCCAGGACTGACCTTGAGGGTGGGACTTGGTTCCCATCTAAGAGTAGATCACCACTGCTGGCCACCACCTTTTACCTGGAGGCTGTTGGTGCCCAGAGGACACCTGGCGGGAGCGTCCCTCGGGGAAAACAGCCCTGAGAACTCATGTGCAGGACCCAGGGCTGGTGCTGGCCTGTCTGTTCAATTTTATGCCTTTAGTTTGGTCCTTCCGAGAGGTATCTTTGACCTGATTATCCCACATTCATTCCTTTGGGAAGTTAGGGCCCCCACTGTGAGGTGGCATCTCCTTCAGCACCATGTCCAGCATCACGGTGACATGGGTGGGTGGTGAGAGGAAAAGGCGTCCTCTGGCTTCAGGGCGTCTGGCTCCCAGCGGGGAAACAGCTTCCTGCGTGGCAGTGATAAGATGTGTTCTCTCGCTGGCTTCAGCTGTGGTCCACGTACCACGAGAAAAACTTAGTGAAGGGGGCCTGCAAGAAGACACTCAGCGACCTGAAGCTGGACTACCTGGACCTCTACCTTATTCACTGGCCCATCAGTTTAAAGGTACGGGGCGCAGGGCTTGGGTGTGTCGCCTGGGGCACGTAGGGCCCTCTTTGCTGGTGGGTGACGAGTGGGCACACGCTCTGTGTGGTGTTACTACTCGCGGCGCAGTCCCCAGGCCAGCAGCGGGGGCCTTGGCACACCCTGCCCCAGCTTCTGAGTCCAAACCCCAGTGACTCGGGTGCACACACTAGAGTTTGAGGAGCCCTGCACTGGGTCAGCTGGTGAGTGCACAACCTTGGGACGGCAAACGTGGCTCCGGTGACACTTCTGCCCTTGGCCATGGGCATTGGCAGTCATCCACACTCTGCCCAGAGGCACGCACACTCATACACACTCCTGCCCTGCACCTGTGTGTGCATGTGCGTGCGTGCATGCGTGTGTTCCCTCGTTCCACACGCGTGCCGCATCCTGCCGAGGCCTGGTGCACACTTGCAGGCAGTGTCCCTCTGCACTGAAGGAATCTCCCGTCACTATGTCCTTTGCTTTCATTCCAGTTGCGGGCTCAGTATTCTGCTTCGTCAGCTGGGTGGGAAGTGTGAGTTTGACCCTACGGTTCTGTCTCGTCGTGCTGTGTGGTATCAGGGCCTGACCTTCATCTTTTGTGTTTTATGAGAAGCCCGTGAGGCTCGGCGAGGCGATGGCCCTGTAGGCTCATGACCCAGCCAGGACGTGGGCCCCGCGAGTCCTGGCCTCGAGTCCTTCCTGTGTCCACACACTGCCGTCTGTGGCGGGTTTGTCTCGCCAGCCCAGAATGAGCATTTCCATCTGACACTTAGCGGAGACCCGTCTTTCGGAACAAGTGTGGGGCATCAGCCATGGTCTGCCTGTTCCTTTATCCCACTGACCCAGATTTGCCCTCGATTATTTTCTAAAAACGTAGCCAGCTCTTGTAGTTTTGAGTGTTTTTAAAACGTGGCTTTTAAAGAGGCAGGCCCCCCAGCACAGCTGTGAAGGGCTGTTACTGAGCATTTACATTTGATTGTAATGACAGCCCGGGAGAGACTTTTTCCCGACGGATGCGAAAGGCAACACGATTCCCTCCGACGCCGACTTTTTGGACACGTGGGAGGTAAGGAGTCTGTCCCCAATTTGGCTGTTGTCTTCTTCCCTGCTGGTCTCCGGTGGCCCTTGTGAGGGGGCAGGTGTGAGTTCTGCCGCTTCCTGCACTGGGTTGGTCTGCTACTGTGTTTTGTTTTGTTTTGAATCCTCACCTGAGGACATACTTACTGTTTAGAGACAGGGGAAGGGAGGGAGACAGACATCAGTGTGACAGACAAACATCGATTGGTTGCCTCTTGTATATGCCCTGACCAGGAATTGAACCCACAACCTTTGGGTTTATGGGACGATGCTCCAACCGAGCCACACTGGCCAGGGCTCTGCTGCCCTTCTTGCTCTTCCTGTCAGTGTAAGCCAGCCTGGCATCTGTACTTGTATCTCTGGCTTCTCAAAGTTCTGACATTGGAGAGTAAAGGTGGGGCTGATGCCACAGATGCTCCCGGCCCCGTCCTGTGGGGCACTGGTCAGGTGTGAGCGGGCCCTCCTTTGTCTTTAGGTCATGGAAGAGCTGGTGGACGAAGGGCTGGTGAAAGCTATCGGCATCTCCAACTTCAACCATCTCCAAATCGAAAAGATCTTAAACAAACCTGGCTTAAAATATAAGCCAGCAGTTAACCAGGTAAGCGTCCAGCAGGGAAGCTGGTGGGCACTCCCTGATTCTGCCTGGCACTTCCTGTTCACATCCCCCAGGGGGTAGCCAGGGGCCAGGCCCGGGGCACTGGCGGTGTCCTCAGTCGGGATTCAGCAGGACAGCGGCATATCTGGGAGCTCAGCTTGTGGAAGAGGAGGGTTTGAGCCTGGCTCTTGAGGGCTTGGGTCTCACAGCAACCGGCAGAGGTTGAGACCCTCAGACCTGTCATGGGTAAAAAGTGGCCAAATCAGAAAAATCCCTGAGGCCAGACCAGTTCATGGGTACCAGGGTTATTCTTGCTTATGTCAAGGACACTAGCTGTGGGAACGTAGCCGTCATCACGGCTTATCTGGGAGATGGGACGCTGGTCACACAGGGTTTCCTGTCTGGGAGGGGGCTGGGACGTGGCTCAGGGAGCTCTGCTCTGTGCGCCATCGTCACCTGTGCCCTGAGCTGCAGCAGCCTCCCGTTTGCACTTGCAGATCGAGTGCCACCCGTACCTCACTCAGGAGAAGCTCATCCAGTACTGCAAGTCCAAAGGCATCGTGGTGACCGCCTACAGTCCCCTGGGCTCTCCTGACCGGCCCTGGTGAGTTGCTGCGGACCGCGCCCTCTGTCAGTTGGGAAAGATTAGAAATGGCCAAAGAGAAGAAAACTTCAGTGTCAAGGAAAGTGGCTCCGGGGCTAATTTGCAGACCTTCCCACGAGCCTCGTTGTTGGGTTTCCTGGTTGGCATTGCTGGTAGGAAGAGGCCCGCTCTTTTCCCAAAGGGTCGGGGGTTCACAACCAAGTTTTGAATCTGGAGGAGGTGGGCGGGCTGCCCTCCGAGGTGGATGGAGTTAAGGTTGGGGCACTGGCTCTTTTGAGTGGCTGCGCCGATGCTTGTTCACACAGGCCCTCTTTCTGCCTCCAGGGCCAAGCCTGAGGACCCTTCCCTGTTGGCGGATCCCAGGATCAAAGCCATAGCTGACAAGTACAATAAAACCACAGCCCAGGTACGGCCACTACCAGGCGCTTCCGACTGTCCCCATAACTGCATTCATGGTAGTCCCAGTGAGCTGAGCCGGGAGAGGGAGGTGACCGAACCCTGTCAAGCCTTCCTGGAAGTGTGGCCTGGGGTCCTGGGGTGTGTAGTAGATAAGACACCAAGTGGGGACTTAAAATATCGTCGTGTTGCCTGGGAATAACACTGCCTGCCCGCCACCCTCCCAGACCGCTGCGAGGGGCAGCCACTGTTCATAGGTGAAGGCACGCGTCTCCGTGTCCCTAGCAACATTGTCAGCTGCACAGACGTGCTGCCGCCTTCCCTAGCGGCAGAAGGAGTTCCTGGTCCGTGGGCAGGATGCGTGGGACACACGAACTGCGGCGTGGCGTGGCGTGGCGGCGGGGAGCAGGGCTCCGGGGTCAGACCTCGAGTGGCACCCTCCCTCCCTGCCGCTGGGCAGGAGCCTGACGTCGCTGAGCCTTGCCTTTCTCACGGGAAGTTCTGGAACTTCCCTCTTCCGGTTACGGAGGCAGGAGGTTAAGTGGGGTGATGGCATAGTTCTTGGTGGGCTCACACCCTTGGCACATCTGCTCACAGGTTCTGATCCGGTTCCCCATACAGAGGAACTTGGTTGTGATCCCCAAGTCGGTGACCCCTGAACGCATTGCTGAGAACTTCCAGGTGAGGTACCGGCTGGCTGCCCTGGTTTTGCTCAGTGGAGAAGGGTGGGGGTGGGTGGGTAGGGTGCTTGCTTCCGAGGGTCTCGTCCTGTCTCTGCCGTGTCGTGCGGGGCCCCCACCCTCTGCCCCGTCTCGGTGAGGCAGCCACCCTCAGCAGGCTGCAGTGAGCACGCCCTGGACCTGGGACCGTGGCTCCTCCTGGGTGGGCCCCATACCTCAGTTTACCCCTGTGCATGCACACTCTGCTGAGGCGACTCAGTGCCCTGTGAAAAGTGTGCGAATGACCCTGGGTTTACAAACAGGACTTGGTTAGGTACCTCAGTTTCCCCAGTGTAAAATAACAGTTTCAAGGGTTGCCATGCAGATTAAAACCCTACATCACAGGGCTTCACAGACCGTGCTTGGCGCCCTGGTAAGCGCCCAGGAGTGCTGCTGATGAGCGTGTGGCCCGCGGGGTCCCTACAGGCCATTCCTGCCCACCCTTCCCCGCACAGTGGGCAGAGCAGCATGGCTGCTGGCAGGGCACCCAGAGGTGTCCACGCGGGCCCTGTGGGCACCCCCCAAGCAGATCGGCCGGCCTGGCATCACCCCCTCCCCGCCCCTCACACTGCTGGCACGGGTCTGGGTGGGCAGAGCTGCTCCGGGACGGGCCCGCGTCTGGGCTTCCCCGAGCACAGCAGCTCCACCACGGCCGCACAGTCCTCACCCAGGCTTTGGTCTCTGGGAGCTGTTCGCACAGTGAGCAGCTGGTTTTGCAAGTTCACTGGCCCCAGGCTGTGCTGTGGCCCATGCCATTGGTCACCTGGGAGACTGGGGGCGGGGTCTGGGGAGGGGAGAGGAGCTTGTTGGCAGTAGGGGAGAATTTTCTCCTCTCAGATGTTCCAGCTGTTGGAGGTAAAGTAAAATAGTGACTACTATGGGAAACACACTTTGCTGGAGACAGATTCTTTTGTTTCATATGTGTTATTCTTTCAAGGCATTAGGAAGGAGTAATTTTGAAATGACTAATGTCATAGAGCTAACATTTTATTTCTACTACTTCATGTGTGGTCCTTGCACAGTTGTGCACAGTTGTAATCACAGAGTCTATAGCAGGCTTTCTTCTTGCACGTTCTGTGATCCTCCCGGATGCTGAGGGCGCTGTGTGTGGCCGGCCCTCCCGGTCTCTCGGGGTGCCACTCCGGGTCTGCCCGCTGGCCTCTGTGCTGGCCACATCTCCCCTGCGACCTGGTCTTCACATAGGTGGTCCTTCCCACTACACCACCTCACTCTCACTGTCCAAACCTTAGTTGGCGTCTGGGGCCCACCTCAAACCCTTTGGCTGCAGCCTTTGGCCCCCCAACTGGGCTTTCCTCTGGACCCTCAGGGCGCCCCTCAAGCTCTGTGTGGGACGGCTGTGGTGTTCCCTCTGCTTCCTTGTAAACTGAGGCAAAGACATGTTCTACCCGTTCCTTTGTTCCCTGGTGCTGCGCATGACAGAAGTGCCCGTAATGGTCTTGGAACGAACTAAATGGAGTAAGAAGTACGATTTTGCTGGGAGGTTCTGGAGGGGAAGGACTATTTCCAGTGCCTCAAGGGGCACCGAGCCGAAACCTGGGCCTCCTCTGGGCGCTCGCCACACTGTCTCTGAGTTCAGTCTCTGTCCCCTCCCCACTCAGGCAGCCTCTTGGTGGCGGCCGCACAGAGCTGCTGGGTGCCCTGTGTTTGCACTTAGTGCTTATTGTACGGCTTTTCTTCCCAGGTCTTCGACTTCGAGCTGAGCAGCGAGGACGTGGCCACCATACTCAGCTTCAACAGGAACTGGAGGGTCTGTAGCTTGGAGAGGTGAGTGGGCCCGAGGCGGACGAACATCAGGTGCCGCAGAGTGAAGGCCTAAGTCCCGAAGGCCTTGGGCGCAAGGCCTGGGAGGCAGCTGCAGTGGGCTCTCCGGGACTGGCCTGTGCACGTCGGACGCCACCTTCCCGAGTGCCCAGCACTGCGCCCAGGACGCCCAGGACAGCAAGACACGATTCCTGCCTCCCAGTAGCTCAGCCTAGCAGGCCGCGCCGGAGGGCGTGTTACTACCTTAACATTAAGTGTGTGGTAACAACGTGAGAGATGTTAGGAGCCTGTGACCGTGGCAGAGAAAGTGCTCCGAGTACCCAGAGAAAGAGGGCACCGCCATCTGCAGAAGTCTCCTGGTATTGGCAGGAGCTGAAGGGGACCCGGTGGAGTTGATCAAAGTAACACAGGGGAGGGGACAGGCTGGGCAGTGACCTGGGGCCGGAGAGCTGCTGGCGTCCCGCCGCAGTCCACAGCCCCCTCTGGCGGGGCAGGCCAGCGGGCCCCTGTTGGGGACGTAATGGCAATAATGATGGACAAACTGGCTAGTCAGAGTGTGAGGGGCCCAGGGCGAACCCAGGTTGGGGCACTTGACTCTTAATTTTTTTTAATTTCCTTTTTTCATTTTTAGAGAGAGGGGAGGGGAAGGAGAAAGGAGGAGAAACATCAGTGTGTGGTTGCCTCTCACATGGCCCCCACTGGGGACCAGGCATGTGCCCTGACTGGGAATCGAAACCTTGACCCTTTTGTTCACAGCCCACGCTCAATCCACTGAGCTACATCAGCCAGGGCAGGGGCACTTGACTCTTACCCGAAAACTCAGAACCTTGCAAAAGTTCCCCATGGTCTGTCCCACCTCCCCCCGTCTTTTTTTTTTTTTTTTTTTGCATCTCATCAAACCAGAGGTATATAAATACCACACACCATTAACAACCGGGGCTGAGTACCTCTGCCAAACAGGTAATGTGTATGTGTGCGTCCAGTTCCAAAAAGCTTCCTGGTGACCCGGAAATGTTGCAGACAGCCTCTCCCCACCCACTGAAGCCCCAAACAGGCCACCAAACACCGGCACCCCACAGAATCATGTGACAGTGGTTTCCAGAACCGCGCTGGAGAGCAGGGGACGTCTACCCAGAAAGGGCTCAGTGAGAAACCCCCATAGTCTGCCAGCCCCAGGAGCTTCAGTAATCATGTGAGCAGTGGAAAGGGAACTGAATGCATGACGGACAGATTCTCCAAGGAGAGCGGATGTGACTCAGCAGAAGATTCACTTCTCTCCCTCGCCCATTAGATCCAAAATCGGTTTCAATGTCTAAAGGCCTAATATCAGTAACACACACGGGGACATCAGAGTGGGCCCTGGTTTGGGGCTGCCAGCAATAAACTCTGTGTGTGGCCTCTTGAATCTGAGGCCCTGGTGTGACAGACAGCAACCTGCTCACACCTGAGCACGTTCACACCTGACGACGGGAGTTATCATCCAAGAGGTGGTGGTGAACACCACTGGCGGCTTAAACTCTGAGCGGGACAGAGAGAGCCCAGAGGCTGGGAAGAGAAAGCTAGCGCCCACCCTGTCTCAGGAAGCGTTCACGTTTTGCTTAGACGAGTAGCTAACGACTAAGGAGACAGAGCAGAAACCGGCAGAGACAGTAGATGATAAAAAACAGAGGGGCTTCTTGTCTCCCCTAGAATATGGGATGTTTCTTCCCGAAAGCAGAGAATGAGCCTTGAACTTTAGCTGCGGCACAGGCAGGAGAGGAAAATCAAGGGCCTGCCTTATCACCTGCCTCAGGTTCCAACTACCAGTCAGAAGGAACACAAGGAACCAGCGAAGGTGCCGCAGGAGAGCCCGTGGGTGGCTCTGCCAGTCAGAGGGGCCGAGTGACTCTCGGAGTCCCGTGGTGTGTCCGTGCCAGAACAGGGGTGATCTCGGGCCCGAGCACCATGCTTCCTACGGAGCCCCTTTCGTTACAGTCATTATCAGAGTCACGGGCGTGTTGTTCCGTGAGGGCGGGACAGGAGCCACCCAGGACCCTTTGGTGTTCATCTACAATAAAATTTAGAAATTGAACGCTAAAATACGCGGTTACTGCAGGTCAGGCCAGCCATGCACCTGGCCCGGGGTGAGAAGATACTGGAGCAGATGCCTTGGCATCTTCCCCAGGGCCGGGTGCAGTTCAACTGACACAGGATGCAGTGTTTCTGGCTGCTCATGTACAAGAACACAAGTAAAAACAGCCGAGAGAGCCAGACTTTGTTTTCCTACCTGCAATGAGCCATTCACCATTTCTTTTTTGTCATGTATTACCATTGCAATCTCTCGAAAAGCTAATGTGTTCCTTTTTTCCCCTGACAGCTGTGCCTCCCACAAGAACTACCCGTTCCACGAAGAGTTTTGAAGCTGTGGGGGCCTGCTCTTCCCCAGCCACCTGCAGCCGTCCCTCCTTCCTGTGCATAGATAGTGCTGCCGGTGGCCGTTGGCAGCCAGGCAGTCACCTGCAGACAAACCAGCAAGGGCCTGGCCGGCCTGGCCTTGGCTCCGAAGAACAGTTCGAGTAGAGTCTCTTTGGGTTTCCTTTGCCTTTTTTGTTCTGCGAGGAAGTACAACCTCGATCTCCTTTCCGAAGCTGAATCCACAAAGTGAAAACTAGTGCCACTGACAGTCGGGTCTCGGCTGCTTGGTACAGGTCCCCTTTCAGCCAGCCTTTTCTTTGCTCAAATAACAAGTACTTATGTGAGCCTGATGCTGTTGGTTTGGTTTGGCATTTGTTAAGAAATGACTCATCACCTTGTCTTCCACTTGACCTTCATCCTATTTTCCCTCACAAAGCAGCCCATTTGACTCTGCAGCTCCAGGGAGACTCGGCACACTTCCTTTTGTCGGTGGAGGAGTGGGGGCCCTTTCAGCCTGTATTTTGCCCATTTAGCTTCAGGGGGCCTGGGTCTCATCTGGCTGCATGTTGGAGTCGGTGGGGGAACTGCAAATGCTTGCAATATCTGGACTTCATTGGGCGCCTGGAGATGGTCCCATTAGTCCAGGAGGGAGGTAGCCCGGACGTCTTGAGTCCACACGGCCCCTGGGGGTTCTAATGTGCAGCCAAATGAGAGCCACCTCTCTGGGGCCGAGCCAGGTTGTGAACCGGTTTGTCATTTCCCAAGGGACTTAATCGTCCCTCCTTCCTGTGAAAGCCCAGGTCCGGCTGGCAAGGCAGCACTGCTCATGAGGAACTGCTGTCCTGAGCTCTCAGTCGAGACTAGAGGGAAGGAGGACAACAGTGTTTGGCGTGTCTCAGCTCAGTGCCACACAAAATTCCCTCGACCAGGCACCTTAAACAACACGTGGCTTTCTCACCGCTCCGGACACTGGAAGTCAGCTCAGTCGGGCACAGCGAGGGCCCACTTGCTGGCTTGTAGACGGCCGGCTTCCCACTCTGTCCACGTGACAGAGAAGGATGGATGCTCTCTCTAGGGTGACCAAAGTAAAGTTCCCCCTCTATTTTATTTTAGCTTTTTTTACTTTTATAAATGCTGTTGCTTTTATTAATATTTTACCCAAAGTAAAACTGACAACGGCCAGGAAAGGGATGGGATAGAAAGGTGGTGACTTCAAATTTCATAGACAAGCTGCTTTGTACCCGCCTTTTTCAGATGGCCATGGCCTCTAATTAGTGGGTGGCCTTAACTGCTTGGCAGCTTATCCAAATGTGAGAAGTGGTTGAACGACAGTGGCTGCTAGCCTCACCCAGGGGTGACGGCACCAGGCCTCTGAGTGGCCTGGAGCCAGGTGGGGGGCCCAGAGCCCCACCCGCTCAGCCTGGCCACCCTGGGCTTCTTTTCCTGGCACCTGCTGGTCTTGGTGGTCCTGTCTGCCCTGCTGGAGAAGCAGGTCCCAAATTAACCCAAGTTAAACTGCAAAACCGCCTCATTCACCCTGCAAATCATCCAGAGCAGGCTGTTGCTTTATTGTGTCGGGTCATGTTCACGGCGACCTAGTCCCCACGCTTTTTGCCTCAGTCAAGAGTTGGCTTAAACACACTTAGGGGAACTTGGAGTAGTCCCTACTAAGTTTTCAAATCAGCTGCTTGCCTTTTAGATCCCTGAGTAGAAACACATCAAAACAAGACTGGAAAAGTCAGCCAGGAGCACCCACAAGATCAAAGGCCCTGCACCAGCCCTTCCTGCTCTCCAGCAGAGACCGAGATGGTATCTAGGAACGTGTCCTTGACAAAGAGCCTGGCCTGGGTTTGGGGAGGAGGAAATCAAGGCTTGTCACAAAGCACTTGTTCTGTATTGAAGATAAAAGAGGACCGTGGGTGGCGGGTGGGGGCCGGTGGGGCCAGCCACACGCCACAGCCCACAGTGGATCCGAGGCGGGAGCAGATGCCAGGGGGTGGAGCCCGTGCTTCCTGTAGCCAGCCCCTGCCTCTCTCCCTCCCCTTTGTGGGAATAAAACCCTTGCACTTTCTGGGGCAGATTCTGGTTCAGCCTCATGGGTCAAGTGGAGTCACCGTGATGAAGTGAAATACCAAACACATCCATGAAACAGCAGGAATCGCACCAGAACACAGTTCAGCCAAAGGGAATCGTTAGTAAGACCAACTGAAAGCTCAACTACTGAATCGCAGGGGCAACAAAACCTGTCCTTGGAAGACCTGAGTGGTGCCGCCATGGACATGGTTCACACGGCAGGTTCTAGGGTCCATGTCACAGGTTTCTCAGGGCCGAGTCTTCAATGTTTTGGGGCGGTGCCCGTGGCAGTGGCTAATGGAAGCAGTCATTCCAGAGCCGTGGGTGGTACCCAGCCAGAAGCAGGACCCAGGCAGCCCTCCTAGAAGGACTTGAGGGACTGTCTTTGGAAGGTCATGGCTGTCAGGGATCCAGTGCCAGGTCTCACCTAGTCCTTCATCTTTGGAAGGCGTTTCCTAGCTGTGCTCCAAGGAAGATCTTGGTCTGCAGGATCCTGAGGGGGAGCCTTGCACTCTGTCCCTAGAGTTCGGCTTCTCACGTCCTCCAGCCCACCTTCCAGCTCAGCCAGAGGATGCGCCAGTATCTTTGCCTTGTTCCCAGAGCCTAGAGCAGCCCCTGGGCACAGACTAGGCTTCTGATGTCAGTTGGATGAATAGCGAGTGAATGAATGAAGAGCTTTTCTTAGAATGACCAGTAAAATTTCCTAGTGTGAAATTGATGTACTTCAGCTCCAAAGGGGCTGCTCAGTTCTGATTGGTGGCCTAAAATAAATGAAAGGATGGAAAAGGGCGGGGCAGCTATAGACAGACGGGGTCTTTGTCACAGCTCTACTCTTCCTGATCATGACCTTAGGAAATACTTAACGTGCCAACCTTCATTTCCTCAATCTCTAAAATGCCACCGCCTCACAGTCACAGAGATTAAATGAGATCATAAATGGAAACCTTTATCCCAAGCCTTGCACACGGCCCTCTGTAGGTGCTGTTACTGCTGGTACTGTCCCTATCATTATTGTTACAACCAAACGTGGGCCACAGAACAAACCCATCTATTTGCAGAGGATGGCCCCGGGGGAGCTACGCCCAGACGGGGCTCTTTCCCCTGTAGAAACAGTGCTTTCTCCACAGCCTGAACCAACCACATTGCACAGGAAGGGCAGCTCCTGATGCATCTGTCCATGAGCAGCACCCTGTACGCTTTTGTTTACCATCTTGAGAATTGGGTTCTGTGGCACAAGATTGAGCCCTGAAGACAGTACTACCCATGTGTTTGTAAGGTGGTTTACTTTTCGTACTGATAGATGAACCTGTAGAGTATTAAGAGGTCATTGAGTCCCATGTTTCTCTAATTCAATGTTTTCCAACTCCCCTCAAAGCAAATGCTGTGCAGACCCTCGATCTACACGCCAGGTGGAGACAGGGCTGCAGTGGCTTTAGTGGGGGAGGAATCTCGGAACCAAGCCCCACACCCAGCTCCCCCGCCACAGGGGCCCTGCGCACGGTTTCAAGGCCTTGGGATCCAGCCCTTTGTTGTTTGTTTACTTGTAAAAAATATAAATATTTCTTTTACACACTTGCTAGAGTACAGGAATTCCGGAGTGGCTTAGCTGGGTGGTTCTGGATGGGGTCTCCCATGAGGTGACAGTATGTGTGACACTTGGAATTGTCACACAAAGGCTGGCTTGGGCAGAGGACTTGGTTCCAAGATGGCGCACTCCATCTCGGGCCTCAGTTCCTCACTGTATGTACCTGTTGTAAAGCTGCTGGCGTGTTCACGACACGGGGCCTGATTCTCCCTGAGCGAGTGATGCAGGTCGCAAAGCGGAAGCCACAATGTTTCCATCTCCAACCTCAGAAATCACCCTCACTTCCACCCAAGATCAGTCCTACTCTCCGGGGTGGAGGGACACTGTGGAGGCTGGTGAGCACAGTTTGCAAAGATATAACTGCACGGTGTTTAGAAAGCATCTCAGTAGTAAATGCAAATGATATTTCAAAAGGATACATGTTTAGGTTGGCATGCCCAGCCAAGCGGCCCTTTAATTTTACAACAACAAAAACTCTGAGGACCAGAGAGGTGAAGTGACCAGCCAAAGCTCACAGAGCAATTTAGGTAGAAATTTAAGGTCTCTGGATTCTAGTTGATGACATTACATCATAATATTCTTAGCGATGACATTGCATTTTAATAAAAATTAGAGTGGCTTACGCATGTAGACTACCTTATGACCAGGTGACCGAGGTTAAGTCGAGAACAATGAGTCAGACCTGTCGTGGTGAGAAGGGCCATTCACCTCTACGATCTTCCCCAGAGCCCAGTCGAATCATGAGGACGTATCAGAGAAATCTGATGCAGTCAAAGGACTCGCTACAAAACACCTGACCAGTATCAGTATTCAAAATGTGGATGTTACCAAACACGTCAAAAGCCTGAGAAGCCATAACAGCCAGGAGGAGCCTAATGGCCTAGCAGCCAGGGAGACCCAACGGCTGCGTGGGTGGGCTCTGGGTTCAGGAAAAGGGGCATTGGGGAAAACTAAGGACACTGGGGTAGTCTAGACTTTATTTATTTTTTTATTTTTAAATATTTTATTTATTTTTAGAGAGGGGAAGGTAGGGAGAAAGGGGGAGAGAAACATCACTGTGTAGTTGCCTCTCGTGCACCCCCCACTGGGGACCTGTTGCAACCCAGGCATGAGCCCTGACTGGGAATTGAACTGGCGACCCTTTTGGTTCGCAGCCTGAGCTCAGTGCACTGAGCTACACCAGCCAGGGTATTTTTTTTTATGAGAGTTTATTTGAGCCAAACTGACAAAAAGATGTCAGTGAGCAAGCTCTCAAATGCTCCCTGGACTAGGCTGGACTTGATAGTAGCAATAATTTACAGTATTGGTTCACTAATTCTGCCAAATGTTTCATACAAAGGTAATCTGTTACTAATGGAGACTAGGTGTGGAGAATGTTGGAACTCCATACTCTCTTAGAAGTTGTTCCGTAAATCTGAAACTATTTAAAAAATGGAACTTCAAAAATAAAATGCTTGTCAAGCAAAACCTTTATAAACAGTTGGAAAGAACCATTTTTCTAATCAAAATGAACAAGTCTACCTAGATTACTCACTTGCTTTTCAAAGTGTTCACACTTAGATCAGGCAAACAAAATAATTAGCAAAAATAATTAGCAAGGGTACAGATTTGAATGGCATCATCACTAATTCTATTTTCAGAGACTACATATTTCTAAGCACATGTGGGGCATTGATGATAAGCAATGATAGA